TAGTAATATTCGTAGTCGTCGTAGTAGTAGTAGTAGTAGTAGTAGTAGTAGTAGTAGTAGTAGTAGTAGTCGTAGTCGTAGTAGTAGTAGTAGTAGTAGTCGTAGTAGTAGTACCTCATCGTTTTTCACAATTACATGCATTGGGGAAATTAATGGGAAACTATTTCCGAATTAATTTTCAGTACATTGCATAAGTTCAATTGAAGCTGATCTGTAACCTAGGATTTCGAAAGAGGTCTAGAGGAGAAGATCGTTTTCGTTTGGTGACGGGGGTTGTACATCGTTTCGTTGGACTCCTGAGTCCAGATTCCAAGTTCGGATCCGTTCGAAATAAATAAATGAATTAATTGGTTTCCGGATTCCTGGCAGAAAGGACGGTGATACAACATTATAGAATAGCAGCGAAGGTGAGCAGAGGAGAGGAGGAGAACAGAAGATAGGAGAACGGTTGAAACAAGAACAACAGGACAGCAGCAGAGCAGTGGGGGAGAAGAGAAAATGCTTCATTGATGGGGGTGGCAGTGCCGCGACCCACGCCGATGGTATCAGCCCTCGTAGCCAGAACGCCTCAGCGTGTTGATTTGCGTCAGCGCCTGACTCACCAACTCATCAATCATATCGTGTGCCTTATTACCTCGATTCATCTCACACTGCCATCCTCTGTGGAGGGCAATCTCGCACTGTGTCTGACACCGATCACAAATAGTGTTGCCAGCATACCTCGCGATATACGTATGCTTCCTATCCTTTGGCCACGCTGCACCCGTGGCTACATTCAGCATCATCTCAGCGAGCCTGGTGCCGTCCTTCTGCTGACTAAAATGAAAGAGCAATCTTCGATACGACTCGTTGTCGACACCATCTTGCACAGAGAAGAGGAGCAGAGGAGAGTAGGGCATGATACAGTGAACGTGTATTTGTATTTCAAGGCTGCCGCCGTTTCTGGCAATCTCTTCCGCGCCCCATGCGTTTTTCGTTTTTCCTCTTGTTGAGCGTTGTTGGGGGGAAGGGTGAGTGCCCGAGTCCTTGGATTAATGCAGGTAGTGAAGTTCATTCATTAACTGGCGATTTCTGCGCTCACGAAGGCTCCGAATCGAAGTAGGTATTCTTTTCGTGTTCTTTAGGAGCGTGGGAATCTTTCAGTGTCTATGTATCACTGTCTCGGGACTTTCAACTGCGGATAACCTTCTCGGCGCGCCGGAGAAGGCCCTTATTTGAGAGTGCCGAGTTACCGCCGGGGCGCCCACTCCCATATCCGAGGTGGGATTGGGAAGGGGTATATACGCTCCGCCTCTGGATCAACAGCTCGTGCCTCCTAGATTTATCTCGGCTAAGATATCTCAATTGCGGCGGGAATGGCCTAAAGCCTGCTAAGTCGTGTTATTTTGATTTCTCGAACCTCTTCCAGGTCTCGTTTTGAGACCTGGATAGCCATTTCGGCGAGGGGATCGATTAGTCTAAAATGATTCGACCTCTGCGTGGGGCTTTACGGTCTGAGATAAATCGTCGAGGGCACCGGGGGGATGTACGAGACCCTTAGTGCAATCCCTGGCCGCCCTGGCTCCCCCCCGCTGCTCTGCTGCTTCTCCATCCAGCTCTGTTGTTGTGTGGTCCCCTTCCTCCCTCATCTCTCCCCTTCGTACTCCGTTTATATTCTTTTGCTCCTACGGGATTCTTTTACAGGGGCGCGGGGGAGAAATTGCGAGGAACAGGGTGCCTGATGAGAATTCGGGCTGCGGCTATTGCGTTCTAGCGTATAAAGCCACATTATTGCTGGAGTCGCCTCGAAACAATCCTCGTTAGCCACGTTATTGTCGGATACGTAGTCCCAGAGTCCGGAAGATAATTAGATATGTAGTATCGTGACTGTCAGCTCTTACACGCTGGGGGGCTGCGCAAGCTTCGGGATCACCCTCCTCAGGTGGCCAGCTTGGCGGATTTTCGGAATCCGTACCCGCACTAAAAAGGCAAAGACGGGGACCGAAGATGGACCGGTATGTTTTCGTATCCAGAATCAAGATGCCACACACAGACACATATGAAATACAAAGTAATTGCATTGATTAATTATCTATTGGCGTCAGTCCTCTGAGCCACGTTTTGAGGATTCGTCCAGAATTTCTGGAGGTCAGTCCACGGAACCACGTTTTCAGGATTCGACCAGAATGTTTAGGTTTCAGTCCTCAGAGTCAAATGCCCGTCTCTCACTGAGGCTCATTGCTTTGGCCACGCTCACGAGCTTGTCAACTCACAGTGGGAGAGAGGTACAAGATCGAAGTCGTTTCGGGGAGGGTACCCTGGAGTTTTTCGTGCTTGTTGGATCGTCTTGTGCATCCTGGGGAGGGCCCCCGCCGAGGCGGGCCAGCGCAGCCACGGCGGACGCCGGCGGCCCTCGAGGCGTGGGTGCTGCAGCTGCTCTGCCTCGTCCCGAGGGCGGCGGCGCGGGTGATGATCCGCCTCTCGTAGCAGCTCCTGAGGTCTGGCGCCAGCCCATGCCTCC